ATAATTATGTATTTATGTATGTATGTTTGCCATTGTAAAAAAATGTGCCCTTCTGGGACAAATAAAAGTGTAATTTATTATTTATTATTTATTATTATCATCTTCTGGTGATATTTTCAAACAGATTAGAAAACAGAGTGGTCACAAATACCATGTAAAACCTGGACTTAACATTACATGTGCTCATTAGTATGATTTGATTTTTTTGTTTGTTTAAGAGCTATTTATCGTTTTGTGTAGAGTACGAAACCTTTATTGCACATGAATTGAGTTCGTTAGATTTTGGACTAATCATCTGTCAGGAAGAGAGGCCATGGTTTTGGGTGGTCAGGGAAGGAATAAAAAAAACCACCCTCGTGTAAATCACCGGGTGGCTTGCTTTTGTGAAATACATCGCGCAAGTGCTGGAATGTCATGTCTTACCCTCGTTTTCGCCATTGTGTCAGTCAAGTATATATCTCCATACATGGCAAAGCACTTTCTCACAGGGTCAATGCCACAAGACAATTTCTGGAAAAACAAATCTTATCAACGTTGGAGTGTTCACCAGTAAATAGCCCCAATATGAATCCTACTGCTAGGCGAAGTCCCATGAAACAGAAGCTGAAGAAAATCGTCTTTGTTCCCCAAACCAGACCCTTTGTTTGCACTTGTCTGTGACTTTTGGAAAGAAATGACAGATAATTATGTCCAAAACTTAAAAGAGCCGTTGCCCAAAGAGTTTGTGCCCTCCACAAAACTAATGGCTCTTTAGCGAACAAATAATACTGAGCACTTTAAATGTTAAGCCCTAGTTTTGTGTGGGATTTGTGATTGCATTTTTGTCCGTTTGGTTTGAAACTGTGGAAATAAAATAGTGTATTGTAGCGACAAAACTCTCCATTAAATGGATATGTAATGTACTCTTCCATACTCGCGCGAAGACAATTTTACGTTTTATGATTTCGCACAATCTTGCCAAGCCTGATTTTTTAAAGGTCTCTTTTGAGCAACAACACCTCGGGAGTCTCTTAACATATATATAAACTATTAATTTGTCAGATGGCGCAATTTTTTTTAGCTTTAAATTGGTATGCCGCATGAGTTGGTAGTGAAAGGATTTAACTGGATGGTTGGGTGATTATATTTAAAAGTGTTTTTTTGAAGCAACTGTGTCTGTGTCTGGGTATGGATATACATTTATGTATGTGTGTATGTGTGCGTGTGTGTGTGTGTGTGTGTGTGTGTGTGTG